TTTATTTTAGAAAAAGTGTAAATTATAGTTTCTATGAAAATAATGAACTAACTGTGGTTTATTTTAAATGTTATTTTCTTAGTAATCAGCTTAGTAGCTTTATTGAATGTAACCAAAATGTATCATGAAATAAATCTAGAGGACCACTCATTAGCCAAAGATGTAGTATCAGAAAAGGATTTTATTATTTCTCAATAGAAAGAATGGCTGTATTTATACAGCAACATCACCAAGACTTCACTGCCAATTAAGTGCTTAGGAACTGAAGAAAATAACTTTGCAACAGTGTTTATCACAGAATCATAAAACAGCACAGCACAGATGGAGGCTATTTGGCCCATCTAGTTTGCACTAGCTCTTGAAGAACTTAATCGTTCTCCTTCTCCATTGCACTTATAAAGTTCTTCTCTTTTAAGTCCTGATGTAATTTTCTGTGTGCATTTGTAGCAGAAATTAATTCATAAAACAGTATAAGTGATTTTCAACTTCCATTCGTTTAGCAATGGCATAGTGTTATTGTCATGGACAATTAACCTAGAGACCCAGGTAATGTTCTGGGGACCTGAGTTTAAATTACACCATGGCAGATGGTGGCATTTGAATTCAATAAATAAAAATATAACTGGTTGGTGGCCAATGAATCATTACTGATTGCTGGGAGAACCCATTTGGGTTCACTAATGTCCAATAAGAAATGAAATTAGGCTTTTTAACATTGTCTGCCTTAAATATGATTCCAGACCTATAGCAGTGGGGTTGACTTTTAAGTGCCCTCTGAGATGACTGAGCAAGCCACTCAGTTGTATCAAACACTTGACAGTCTCAAAAAGGAATGAAACAACTAGGTTCTTATGTTCCAAGGGGTAACATAATGTTTTGGAAACTATATTTTCTTTTAGGAAAGCAATGCTTTTAGGACCACTTTAGCTGTCATTTTTTTCAGATCAAAATTGCAGGCACATGTTTTGTATTTTCAGACACACAGGGAAAGAGGTAGAACATTCACTGTCTAAATACAGGTTTGCAATCTTAAGTCTTTTGTTTTTAAGGAAGGAGATTGTGAAGAAATGCTCAGTTAATCTGCTTTTTGATTAAAATTTGTCCTTTGTCCTTCTGCATAACATTTTGGCTACTGCACTCAAAAATGCTGAAGTACTGATTGCCCAAATTCTTTGATGCTCAGGGCTTTTCTCCAGTTGGTCTTCAATTCAGCTTCCAAATATCTACCATCAAGATCTTGGATTTTTCTTTTATAGATGGCCACCTCTCAGTCATATGTTAACCATTGTATGGGTTTTGCCTCCAGCTGATGCAGTAACACTTATATTATTCCTTGTAACATAAGAACCTAGTTGTGGATAACCTGGTATTGAAAGATCTAACAGATGTTTATTACAGCTGGCTATTATATACAGACGTAACACTCAGGCACTCACAAGTGTCGAGGCTAAACTATTTGATTACAACTGATGAGCGTATATCCAGTAGCATCTCATGCTTCAAGTGATCTAAGAGGGCATATGTGAAATTTATACCATTATGTCATGCGTAATGATACAGTGATGATGGTATGGTCATGTCTCTGAAAGATTTTGCCATCCTGTGTCTCTTAAATGTACACTGACATAGTGACCATCAAGTGTAGGTTTCAAACTGAGTGACTTTTTTAGAGGCCTTGATGATAAAATGTCGGACGGGCCTAAATAAGTTGAAGCTTGAACTTCCACTTCTCAGGGGACAGGAGGTCCTGCCCTCGAGAGCTGCTGGCCTGTCTGATTGATGGACAACTCTAGCATTCCCAGAAGGCAGTAGGTCTGGTAACAAGGCCCATGGAGATCGTTGTCTATTCTGAAGAAGGGTCACTGGACTGAAACATTAACTCTTCTTTCTCTCCACAGATGCTTTCAGACCTGCTATGGTTCTTCAAATATTTCTATTTTTGTTTCAGATTTCCAGCATCTGGAGTCTTTTCTATTTTGGTTCCACAGAGATCATTCATGGCATCCAGATTTTGGTAAGTCATTATCTTTAAGATGGGAAGAATCCGCCACACAGGGTTGAATGGATGTCTTTTTGAGGCCAGGTTGGGGGGAAATCAATGATAAGTGAACATTTTGGGGATCGGGGAATTTACCCCCAGTGCATACAGGATACAGCCTGAATGGTATGTCCTGCCTTTCCTGTTGTTTCAACAAAGTTGTAAAAAATAGTACTTTCCATGTATCTGAGATAACAAGGTGTAGAGCTGGATGAACACAGCAAGCCAAGCAGCATCATAGGAGCAGGAAGGCTGACGTTTCGGGCCTAGACCCTTCATCAGAAAATCGCCTTCCTGCTCCTATGATGCTGCTTGGCCTGCTGTGTTCATCCAGCTCTGCACCTTGTTATCTCAGATTCTCCAGCATCTGCAGTTCCTACTATCTCTTTCCATGTATCTGCGTGCCATGGCCCAGAGCTTTGTGGCAGATGGAGGGCTTTAAGTGGGAAACAATTGAATTAATAATGGCCCTCAGTAGGCCAAAAAGGAGGTGGACTAGGTCACATCTTACCCAATCTCTGTGTGGTTGAGGAAAGAAAAGAAGGCAGTAGGCTGGCCATCCAAACTATTCCTGCCAAAAATATGTGAAGCAGAAGACCACAATATACAACCCACTATCTTCTCAGCTTATTTACATCCCTCAGTCATATTCAATTTGACCTGCTAGTAATTTATTAACTTCTCATTTTCTCAGCCTGGATTATTGTATCATTTTTAAGTTTCCATGGCCTAACAAAGATTTTGAGTTTTATCCACAGAGCATCTGATATCTGTTCATTCAGCTCTGAATTTGGACTCTGGACTGCTCCTATAGCCTACTGCCTCACAATGAAGCCTTTAGCTTCTTTGGAATTACTAACTCTCTGTCTCAAGAGATTTGCTAATTCTCCTGTTGTTATGCATCTCTGACTGAGTCTGAAATCCTTTTACCATTCTTTGGAGTATTCTTCCCTGTTGAGGATTGCCATGATGTTTTCTTTCGTAGGGTTCTTAAATTTTCAGATCTTCCTGGCTGCTGACTGTACTGTTTGTGCAACTGACTCAAAGCTGAGTCTGCAAACCTCACACTGTGGTTCACCAGCTTTTGTACAAAGTCAAATCCAAATCTGCATGGCTGACTACCATGTGCATGATCGTATGATCATTACACTGCATGGCCTCCTGCTCATGATGAAGGATAATGCCAACCAACCTCTTCAGGTGTAGGAAATGACAGGGCTTATTTGGTCTAGTGTGCTGGACCAAATCCACTTCCAGGTTTCATCAATAAATTGTACATTATTGCATGTTCACAATTAGTTCCAGCCTAGACATTTTCTAACCAAACCATTCAGAGATGCATTGGACACTTCTGCAGCAGATATGACTTGAAACTGGGCCTCCTGGTTCAGAGGTAGGGACACTACCATCATACTGCAAGACAGGCTACATTGATATGAAAACACTGCTACTCCTCAAGACCCAAAATTATTCTGTTCCCTAATTTATGAAATCATTATTGTGGGTGGTGATTATGGCACTTCCCATTATTAACCCTTTTGGACCCATATACTGCACATCAAAAATTGGTTCCTCTGCATTAGTTTCAATTTGATGCAATTCCCAGCCGTGGATATCAAATTCTATTGATTCGATTGATGTAGCATTTTTAATCCAACAAAAGTGGACATCTCTGATCACTAATAATATTTATTATATCAATATTATATCCTGAGAATTATCATGAATTTTTGATCTGATTGTTGTAATTTTCTTTTTGGTAGATGATTTGCTCGCTTAATAATGAGTATCAATGAGGTATCAAAATTTAACTTTGGAAACATGTGTTAAAAAATTCTGGGACCTTTTGGAATCCCATCCCTTTTTTTCACAAATTGATTGGTTTGCAGTACATATAAGAATCAGCCACAAGAACCAGTATTTGATTTATTAAGCTGTCGTATTGTACTGTACTGAATGGTAGAAGAAAGACATTCCACTTGGTATTTACACATCAATCAATTGCAATGAAATTTACAAATCAACAGATTTAAACCCACATTTTGTTGGCAAAACATTCCTTATTTTAATTATCACCTTTTTATACTTCAGTTGACTGCTGTTTCACAGCACATATATCCTTCATTTCTGAGATTTGGAATTCACATTGCAACATTGATCTCTTGGGCTGTTGTGTAACTGCTGGCAGGGAATGCTACACCCTTTACAGAATACTTTGTTGACAATAAATGGACCACATTAACACATGCTTAGATTTTTAATTTAATGTAAATTCCGCATCGTTTCCCATAAACATTGCATTTAGCAAATTTTAAGATTTTAAATCAGGTCTCAAGGTGTCACATTTTTTTCACTTCAGTGCCATCTTCTTAAGTGATGTGTGAGTGCAGGCAGGAAAATCCAAATTCTAAGGCAGCTGATGTGGTGCATTTAGATTTCAGTTGTTATGATCCCCTGGAGACTGATAATTTAAAAATATATCAAATCTTCAGAAAGAATAACTCAACAAGATCTCTGCTTTTGAGACTTACCATAACAAATAGGCTGAAAGCACTATCGATTGAGCACCATGTTTGTATGCAACACAACCTTTTATTCTTAATACAACTGAAAAAACACACACCACAGAAGGGAGAGTGATGACCTCGTGGCATTACTGCTGGACTGTTAAGTTAGAGACCCAAGTAATATTCTGGGGATCTGGGTATGCTTGCCATGGTATATGCTTCCTCCAGGTGCAAGTGCTGAATAGCTGTTCTTTCAACTCCATCTCTTAGAGTAGGAAGTAAATGGGCAGATTAGAGTATAAGCGTTTACAACCTGACGTTCTCAACACCTTGCTGGGAGTTCAGAATCTAGCAGTCCATTATTGCCTGTAAACACAGGAGCTGCTGCATTGTCTCCAAGGGTGAACACCTTAGACCATCTCTCCTGCAAAACCACCTTGAATTTCCTTTAATCTTTAAGTCATGTCACCCAAGCCTGTGATGAGAAGAATATGAAAAACAGGGGCAGGACCAGCCCAATTGGCCCTGAAGCCTGCCCAACCATGCAACAAGATCAGGGCTGACCTCCGGTCTCAACTCCTCTTTTGTGTCAACTCATCATTGTCCTCAATTCCTGGATATTTTAAATGTTCTCATTAAATACTTTCAGTGATCTGGCTTCCACATCTTCCTGGGGTAAAGAATTTCAGATATTCCTCACCATATGGAACAAGAAATTCATTTTTATCTTAGTTATAAATGTGTGACCCTTGTTCTTTAACAGTGTCCCCTAGGGTGAGATCCCACCACTAATGAAAAGATCTTCTCAACATCTACCCTGTCAAATTTCCCTCAGAATCTTGTATGTTTTGATATGATCACCATCATTGTTCGAAACACTCATGAAAAACAGGACTAACCTGTTTAGCTGCTCTTAATCAGTCAACCTCTTCATCAAAGTGATCAGGATAGTAAATCTCTTCTGAATTATCTCAGACATTAGTATATCCCTTTTAAAATGCGCTGAACAAAACTGTAGGTAGTATTCTCGATGCAACCTCACTGAGACCTTGTACAGTGGGAACAAGACTTCCTTATTTTCAAACTTCAACACCCTTGCAATAAAGGCCACACTGGCATTTGCCGTCATAATTAGCCTGAACCTGCAAATTAGCTTTTTGTGTCTCATACACAAGAATACCCAGATCCCGAGATAGTAGGAACTGCAGATGCTGGAGAATGTGAGATAACGAGGTGTAGAGCTGGATGAACACAGCAGGCCAAGCAGCATCAGAGGAGCAGGAAGGCTGACGTTTCGGGCCTAGACCCTTCTTCAGGAATGGGGGAGGGGAAGGGGGTTCTGAAACAAATAGGGAAAGAGGGGGAGGCAGATAGAAGATGGATAGAGGAGAAGATAGGTGGAGAGGAAACAGACAGATCAAAGAGGCGGGGATGGAGCCAGTAAAGGTGAGTGTAGGTGGGTGGGTAGGGAGGAGATATGTTAGTCCAGGGAGGATGGACAGGTCAAGGGGGCAGGATGATGTTTGCAGGTAGGAGATGGGGGTAGGGCTTGAGGTGGGAGGAGGGGATAGGTGGGAGGAAGGACAGGTTAGGGAGGCGGGGACGAGCTGGGCTGGTTTTGGGATGCGGTAGGGGGAGGGGAGATTTTGACGCTTGTGAAGTCCACATTGATAACATTGGGCTGCAGGGTTCCCAAGCGGAATATGAGTTGCTGCAACCTTCGGGTAGCATCGTTGTGGCACTGCAGGAGGCCCAGAATGGACATGTCGTCTGAGGGAATGGGAGGGGGAGTTGAAATGGTTCGCAACTGGGAGGTGCAGTTGTT